TACAATATAAAAACCAGTTTACATAAGAATCTAGCATAACCCAATATTTTTAAAAACTGAGTTACGCTAGATAGCACATATGAGGAAAGTGTTCATGTTCAGGTCTATAGTATATCGGCTTAAGAAAATACCATCTTTTCCTTGAACTGACAAGATTAGAATGTTGTTGATCCCTCGTTTGCTCCGATAAAAAGCCATGCCTTCTTCATTTTCTCTACCATTGGCCGTTTTATGGTAAAAAAACGTTTAATTCCGATCTAGACGAACTTTACTTCTGTAATCAACGCAGGGAGATTGAAACGTTACATTTTGACACGAAGTTTCGTTGCGCAACGTTTTGACGCCAGTTTTTTCGTGTCTGTCCTAGCCTCTTATTTATGGTAAAATGACGTCATAACATTGTCAAAGTGTTGCGGATTCACGATCAAACTTTGACAAGTAAAGGAGTTTCACTGGTCGTTTTCACACTAGACACGGAAACCTGTCTTCAAAATCCATCAAAACTGAGGGGAAAATTGAGAGATAAAGTCAGACGGATTATTCGTCCAAAAAAGGGGCTCCGTTTTCACATTAACTCGGATTATCTGTCTGACACGAATTATCCAACCGATAACCCGCTTGCGACAGATAATCCGTCTCTATTGGAAAACGACCATTAAAATTTGACGGGTTGAGTCACGCCACCGCCCTGCATAAATTAGGAATTACTTGTTTTCCAAACTTCAGAAGTCGAATGAGATCAGCGATGTTTAGTCTCGAAAAATGTAGGCATTTTGGGGTAGTATAAAGTGCTTAACTAGTCGAAACGATAACGGTTGAGCTGTCTGCAGAGTAACTAGCCAAGCATGAGTGTTGAAAAGTTGCTAACCGAAGAGTACGAACAGAAATTGACGGTGTACCTTTTATTTACTTCAGTTCAAGTCTTGTATTTCCTACTGAACGCCATTCAGCTATATGAACTACGTCAAGAGCCATAATAGGACAGCTGTCCTATTATGGCTCTTGACTACGTTCAATCAAACCGAAAGGTTGGTTTTATACGCTTGTAGTCTTCGATTTAACTTACCAGGTACTTACAAAGTTTCGCAATGTTTGAACGAAAAGTTTGTTTTTCTTTCGGAAAAAAGGACCAGGAAAAACACTCTATACTTGTCAAAGAAAACTATTGCAATAAATGTCTTTTATTTTGAATAAACTAGACTTTTACATTTGTTTTCTTACTTTGTTAACCTAAAAACTATGTTTGAATATTAAAAGCTTATCTGAATCGCAATTTTGCAGCTCTATAATTAGAAAACAAGTGTTTTTGTTCAGTCTCCTCTGCTTGAGCTTTTTATAGAGAATCTGGACATCTGAGTCTTGCATCAGCGCTATCTGGCGATTTTTCTTACTAGACAGAAAGTGAATATTTTGCGAAACTAAACTAAAGAAACCATCGGAATTCGTTCGGCAAATAGGGGTGTCTTGCATAAGTTAAAATTTTGTGTCTGTTCTCTTTTGATCATAATAATCAGACAATCAGCGCGCGAGAAATAATTTAGTTATTGTGAAATAAAATATCACTCCCTCATTTTGGAAACATTCAGGTGGCAAAACAACAACCTCGTCCCCAGGACTTTTAGGTTGGCGAACCACAGATTAAACATGTTCAATACCGTAAAATTCCGAAAGTAAGCCCCTCCAAACATTCCGTTAAATCGCCCCTCCAAATATAAGTCCCCTGGGGAGCTTGTACTAGGAAATTGCCCTCAAATACAGAGTAAAAGAGTAAAAAGTCCTTTCTTTGCAGAAATTCTGGGCAGACAAGAAAATTTCTGAATTTTTTTATGTTCTTTCAACTAACAAAGACAGAAAAGGCTTGGAATTTATCTCCACCATTGAAGGTACAGTAACAAAATAACGACTCCTACAGTCCCTACTGTATTTGAGATTCCAATTTAATCCGTGCGACGTTGGTCTTCTATCGAGAAGACGTTTTAGTGGGAGAATATAGAGAGGGTGGATGTACAGGCGGGGTGTTAAGCATGTGCTTTAAACAGATAAGTGGGGGGAGGGGGGAGAGAAGGAAAATACACCATTCCACGATTTTTTTCAACATTTAACTATGACCAGGGCCCAGTTGTTCGAAGGCCGATTAGCGCTTCAAAAGTAGTTTCTCGGATAATCAGTTTTCTCTGTTATTTTCAGAGCATCCAATCATCAACTTGTAGACAAAAAGAATTAAAACTGAAATGCTTTTTAAGCTTTCAAATCTGAATTCAAATCTCGCACTAACACTAAGTTATTTTAACCCAGCTTTGAACAACTCGGTCCAGATGGTTAAAAGCAGTCAAGTTACCAAGTTTATGAGTGAGTTATTGCAAACTAACAAAGATATAGCTTCGCAAAGTCGAGTCTTCACAGACCGTCGTATGGTAGGGCGCAGATACGAGTAGTGACGGCCGCTCAGAGATTTTTGGCGGGAAACACTTTCTTGCTAGATGTCATGTGACCTTGAAGTAACCAGTCGGGGAATGCACGTTCTTGTTCATTACATTGCGCGTTCTTTTTCATTACAAAACCACAGGTAAGAAGTATCCGTTTTTTGGGACCCAGTGGCATCCCGAAAAAAGTCAGTTCGAATGGGAGCCTAAAGAGGCCATTGATCATTCTCCAGATGCCATTCGCATAGGGCAGTACATGGCCAACTTCTTCGTCAATCAAGGTATAAATAGTAACACACCTAGCATATTCTTCTAACTTGAGTTTCACGCAAAATCATTTTCCTGCCCGCGACATCGAAACCCGCACCGGCGACTTTCGACTCGCATCCGCGACATCCAACTCGCACCCGCGACTTCCAACCGGCAACCGCGACCCGCGACCATTAGTCAAACTCCATTCTTACAGTCTGTTTTCGTAAGATCCACTCTCACGAAGGACTTTTCGCGACCTTGTCTCTCAAAGTGGTAAAGTCGTGAGCAATTATAACCAGGAACGAACTTGTCTCTCACCGAAACATCCCGCTTATGCGTCTTCTAGCTCGAAAAGTAATGATGATGATGTGAGCGTTTTTATCAGTTAAGATACACACGCATCAGTTTAGGCCATAGTTTTAGATTGAGTTGGGGGAATGATTGGGTTGGACTCAACTTGATTCGCAAAGGAATGTGTCTGCATATTAAAGCTATCGCGCGAGGTGATAGCTATCTTTGGGGACGGGAGAGTGAGTATAACTTTGGAATTACAGTGCAGTTGTATTCTCTATTCTCTTCTCAGCTCGAGGTAACACGCACAAGTTTTCCACTGAAGAGGAGGAAGAGAAGGCGCTTATTTACAAGTACAATCCCACCAATACTTCAGAGTATTCCACATTTGATCAGTGTTACTTTTTTCAATAGTTTTCTACTGTTTGGCAGATACACTGTCAAGGCAAGGGGCATGGAAAATGCTTGTGGCATTACATATGGGGACGCTTTTAATCAAGTGTGGGCAAAACGTTTTCTACACTTTCCTTTAATTTATTTTCATTGTTGTCGAGTGTTAAAATCACAGCCATAACTCAAAACGTATGCTACAACTTGAAACCACGAACGAGGGTGCTTTTAATCTATCAAAATCCATCGTCAAACCTTTTCTGTCCTCAGGGTTAGGCAAAACGACCCTAGCCCCCGGACTATAAGGATTTTAATTAAAGCTAAGGGCTTGTACCTTTTGCAACAGTTAGCACCACATTAAAATGCTTTGGATTGAATGAGTTCACATCTCGTGGTTTACATGCACTGGCCTTGGTTCAAATTTATATTACTTTGTAATGGGTACATGGTAAAGTGTGATAATAAGTTCTAGACAAGGGAAAGTAAAACTGTATACTAAGATTAAGCTGAACCACAAAATGGACAAACTCTAAAAAGAAAGAGAACTTTCTGGCGCGGTATTGTATGCATTACCACAGGAGAGTAACACTTATTCGATAAACCGTTGAGATACAATCAGTTTTAGTAATCGTCAATGGTGATTTTTTTTTCATCGTATGAGAGGCAAAAGGGCAAAATGGGTGAGGGTATTACAGGCTTACAGGCTTAGGGCCCCTTCGGCTTATCACAGAAGAGTAAACTAGTTTGCTTATTCTCAAGTATGCTAACTATTTGCATAAATTTGAGCTAAACATAATGACACAACTGTACACATTTGTATTACGAGTGCTAGCAAAGTCTACAAATCGATATAAATTATAAAGTTTATTCAGGTTTCACTACAGTGCATGGTTTTTCAGGGTTTATATTTTTATAAGTTTTTAAGTATGTTGCGTCGCCCGCCATCAGAAAGCTTTAATAAGCTTTGAACTCCGGTAGCAATTTAACTGTTTCATTATTTTGTATCGCATATCAAGTACTATCAACGGCCTTTGGTCATTGAACACGGATTGAATATTCGATTGAATAACAAGACTCCGTGTATGACTTCATATCCGAATAACCTGTTTCAATGTATCTTTGCCGGCGAATAAAATACAAACGTCTTTTCTCGCTGATCGATCGAGAAATATTGCAGGCTAATTGTATCTAAGCAACTGCAAATAAACTTGTTGAATTAAATAATTACATGAGTCATGCATTTGTTTACTGTGTTGTTCAATTAAGTTTAAATAACCCGCAGTAAAAGGAATTCACCTACGTATGAAGGCTATTGCTAGTTATTAACCTCGAAATAACAATGTTTTAGGTTTCCCCTCCATGTCATTCATTTATCAAGTTTTTATTGGGTGTAAGGAAGGTAAACCTCGGTCGTTATTATGGCGTAAAGGCGTGAATAGTGTGTGCGCATGCTTTGTCAGATCCTGACTATAACGTAATGATCCCGTTTGAGCCTTCTTCGCATGAGATTCGGTAATTTGCCTTTTATCCCCGTGAAAAAAAGTCAATACAATGGCTGTTAAGGGGCTGTTTACATGGAGGTGCGGGACTCCAGGTAGGTGATCCCCACTTAGGTGGGGTAACCCGCCTGTCAATATAATCTTTCAATCAATCTCTCATGTAAAAGTGACCAAATTGAAATGAGAGATTATATGGACAGGCAGGTTACTTCACCTAAGCGAGTTACCTAATCTACCCGGGGTCCCCACTTCAATGTAAACAGGCCCTAAATTTCCCGAGAAAAAGACCCTTGGCACGCGGCAAGTACTCCTGGGTAGCAACCTTATGGGAGACCATTTTTACCTCGGTATGTAAAACACCACGACTGATTAATATATCACCAAAAGGACAACTTGCCCTGCACACAAGGCCGGGATTTAGAGCGTTTAAAGAGAAAAGCTTGAAATCATGTTATCTTTAATTTTCAATAAGCACCTACAAAAACAAGATAGCGACAACAGTAGTAGTATCTAAAATCTACTAATGTTAGTTCAAAATATGACAATTTCATACTTTAAATAAAGCGTTTTTAGTTATAAGAATGAGCTGCATGTCTTAAATAAGTTATAATTTATACCGTAGTAGGAAAGTCTGCATGACATCAACACCTCACTTGAGGAATTTAGCTTTCAAAACAACTGGCAACGATAAATTTTCCTTAACAAAATCAAACAAGTACGCGAGTACGTGGATTTAAAATGTTCTTCTGGCGTAAAGTTACAAAATAGAATTTTTTAAAACACCAGCATCGCACCGAAAAACGACTGTATAACGAACCGTTTTGGTTAAATCAACTGTTAATTTATCAATCTTTTGCGAGAGTTTAATAATCGATTTGTGTGATTTTGGTTCAAATGGGTAAAATGTAAACAATGCCAGCTGTATACTTCTTCAATACCAGGGTAAAAAACCCTTAGAGTTTGTGACTCCTTCTGTCTAAAAGTTTGTTTAAGAATAATAAAAATATTAAATATGTTACACGTAAACAAGTTTCAAATAGCCCGCCTTGCGTTCGGTTTAACAATACATAAATACTACCTTATTTACAATACTGTCACTTGTGCAAAATATCTTCTCTATCGTATAAATTAGTTAATTGTCATTTCAAAATTCTAATTTAAATTAACTTTTACTTCGGTTTTATTTAATTGGCTACTTCCAATTTTCAAATAATGGAGATCAGAGACAGCTAAAGACACTGCTCCGAGTTCTCAGCTCAAAAAGGAATTTTCACGTGAGTTTCGAAGGCCAAACCTGGCCAACCAGGCAAAGAAGACACAATCAACCCATCAGAACGTAAAGCCAACACGGGTAGCCCGCGATAGTGGCGGGAAAACACTCGCGAGAACGTCACTTTGATTTCGGATTGGTTGGCAAAATGGCCCTTGTAGGAGTTATTGAGATACGGGATATTTATCTAAAATACTACAGGAATACGGAATATAAATGAGGTCCAGGATATCTACACAATAGTTAGCTTCCAAAATATTGAGCATCAAAGTTCTCGGTTTTGGAAAACAAAAAAATATTATTACAAAGTGTAAAATTTATAACAGTATGAAAGGCGACAATATGTAAAAAAGACTGTTATAAACTCGACAATATTGTGCCCTACCCCCTTCCCCGATAATGGTACACAAAATGATAGTATCAGTATCAAAAGCTTGCATGACGGTTGAGCCTGCGGTGCAACCTTTCTTTAAAAAAGGCAAAGAATGATTTTGAGGGTTAAATAATACAGAATTAGCATTTCCCCTGTCAAAATCGCTAACAGCTGTAATAACAACTGCGAAAAATGCAGGAATACACAGCATACGAATTATGGGGATAAGGGACATTTAAGCAAAACAAATAAGGGGATGCGTGATGCCCCAGCTTTCCTTTACGCTATTACGGGGCTTCAGATATTGAGCCAGTCTAAAAAAGAGAGGCAAGGCTGAATTAAATTAAAACCGAGTATCTATCACCCCATTCATGCATTTTATAGATAAAACCGACACCTTGCTTTATGTCACCAAAAACCGATTATTTTTGTTGTACACGGATCTCCGTTGACCTTCATTTGCTGCTGCGGTGGCGACTTTTTTATGAGCTTGCGAGTTTTCGTTGCTATTTTGACGTTTATATCCATTCAATTCCCTCTCAGCTTTCTATGAAAAAACAATACCGGATAAAATTAAATTTAAGAATGGCTGGCTTGTCAATAGTCCGAATTTAACCGTTTCACGTTTTTTTTTTCTTTTATTCATTTGACGGACCAGTTGACGAACATCCGTCGACACCGCTTTAAAATCAGTAACGTTGCCAAGTTTGAGAGTAACATGTTAAAAGATGACGTAGATATGGCTCCGCATTTCGGCAAAATTTTACAGATGTCTGTACGGTGGGGTAGAGTAAGTTTCCCCCACCCCCCACCCCCACCCCCAACTAACGTGTCGCCGTCTCCTCTCCCCGAAGAAGAAAAAAAACGGCGCGAGGGACCATCCCTACCATATAGACGTTTATAAAATTCCGCAGTTTTGTAGGGCTATATCTTCGCTCGTTTTCGGCATATCATTCTAACAGGTGGGAGTTATTAACAGTTTACTTAATACAGCGTCAATGGAGTTCGCTAATTGTGCATGTCAAAAGTTGAAAAAAGAACTTAAAGTGAATAGTCTGTTGGTGCTCGTAACTAAGTCTTTTCTGCAATCGTGTAGGTGAGTACCATGCTAACTAGGAGAGTTAAATGGACTATAATTTTGAAACGGTTTTCTTTGTTTCCTCTAGTTATTTATTTTTTGCGCTTCAAGGGCGGAAGGCCTAAGCACAGCGTGTGTCTCGACAAAAGATTTTTGTCATTCTTTTGCCTTTCTTGGCATTTTACCCTTCATTTGCAACTGTTGAGCCTTTCCTACAAGCTTTGCGAGTTTCTACGAGATACGTTTTCCTCACTAATAACATTGACAAAAGTATCTAATATTTTTTACATACCTTGTAAAGAGCTATGAAGTCGATGAAGGCTTTAAAGAAATCCGACGGTTCGGCAACTCGAGGGTTTTCAGCGAATAACGTACAGACCTGCGCATACACTTCTTCCATCTTACGGTAGCGCTCTGTGAGACGCTGGACTTTCTTGAATGCTGCGTTGTAGAACGACTGAATGAAACATTGTGTCAAGGAAGCAAAGCCAATCTTGAAAAGGAATTTGGGGTAAGTACGCGTTCCCAATAGTCAGCTAAGTCTGGCACAGTGCTATTTGTTTTACGTTTGTATGATATTTTTACCAGCAGATTTGAATTTTGTTTCTTTTCACGCCAAAAAGTGAACCTCTTAGTTGAAGACACATCTTGCACTGATTAAAAGACTTTTTTCAATAACACCGCATACAAAATAGAAATAAAACCGGCAAAGGCTAAATTGTAAAACAGACTGAAAAGTATAAAATGCAAAATGCGAAAGGCAGAATGAAAGTTATGCAAACTGGAAAATACAAATACTTGACACACAGTACTAGGTACAAGTGGTGTACTAAGTTCAGTGACGTCACAGAAGGATACAAAGATAATAAAGTTGTCTGGCTGTTTGTCTCTCTCAGTCTTAGTCAGGTCCAGGCCCTTTCGCAATCCCTGCACGTCAGCCGCCAGTGTTTGCATGGACACTGGGGAAGAAAAACAGTTAATTAGTAGAAAAGAACTAACAAACTAACAAAACATCAAGTTATCGGCAAATGACAAACTGGTGATTATGGTTTGCGGTTTGCGCTCTATCCGACAAAAATTAAAATATAATGCAAATCTATAGGAAAGTAATTACAGTTCCCTCACGTTGAAAGCGTTATAAAGGTGACGACTGAGGTTATATCTACCGTTTGCTTTATAGTTTACAATCGATGCCATGCATCGGAACACAAAACAATTTGAAACCTTTCAAACGGAGAAATTAAAGAGAGTCGAGAGTTTTTCCCTCTAATCGTCCTTTTCAAACTATTTTGTCATGGGAGTGCTATTGTGATTCATCAATTTTACATAGTTCTTGAATACTGGAACACTTTTGCGCAAAATGAAATCCTAAACAACTGGTGAAGACTTCTTTACAAAAACTTTAGTAAACAAGAGCCTCGAAACATACACTCAGTGTATGTTTCTTGAAAAATTGGTTCTTCGTAAGAGACAATCCAATCTCTTATAAACTATGTATTTTATGGCAGGCGATTGCTTTAGGTCGATAGCTTAAGGAGGTCTCAGAGTATATGGTTTAAAGAATTAAAGTTATTACAAATACACTTTCTCTTGTAGAGATAAAACAAATTCGGAGTGATCTTCACCTGTAGTTGCTCCATCAAGATAAAGTTCCTCGGCGAAGTCCTGAAGATCAGGAAACTTTTTCTGTACAACGCTAACAATGTAGCTAAGAAACGTTTGTTTTCTGTCTGTCGTACGAGTGTCTTCCAACTGCAAATTAGAACAACTGACCTATCAGTGGCATCAACTGGTTAACTTTACAGTATTGATGTAAATGGACGCATTGCAGAAAAGGCCACTTTCAAAGCGAAAACGGTGAAAATGGCGAAATTTTTTCAAAAATGGCTAAGTGCAAAACCTTTCTTGTGAAGATGAGGTTTATTTACATGAGAATTAAAAATCATTTTCATATCAATGGATTAACTAGGGATTGACACTTAGCCTCACTTTGAAACAGAGGCTTGGGGCAAGTCGGTCAAAACCGTAAAAACAAAAACAGTAACACAGGAAAGATGTACTGTTCAGTAGCTTCCATCAGAATGGTCACACTTTAGGATTTCAGTCATCCACAGCTCGAAAGTTAGAGCCACCTTGTACAGCGTACTAAACAGTACCGCAAGAAAGTAGTGGTTGGTAGCTAGCTTTCAATTGAGTGGTCACTCACAAATATTTTCCCCCATCAAAGACCTCAGACATCCTGATGTATGAATAAATCAATATCTCACCTTGTTAAGAGATTCCAGTTTAAATCCATAGGCAACCCCTCTTCTGCCGCTGTTCATGTAGTTCCCATATATCAGTATTAACTAAAAACCAACAAACATTGAAAAGTGTTGCGAATGTGCCGTTTTGCTTTAAATATTTTTCAGGCACTAACATGTAGCAAGATGTTTCCCGTTGATGGCGACCAAAATATGAGTGACGTTGACATGGTATTTCTTTAAAAACTGTGGTTTCGATTCCGCTTCCAAGGAAAACAGTTTTCTCACACGCTTCCAGCATCATCGTCTGTGTCAGGGTTCTATCTAGGATTTATCGTTTGGGGGAGAAGTCCCTAGTGGCCGAAGGCCACGAGCTTCCTAGGGGGGTCCGGGGGCATGTGTGTGGAAGGGGGGAGGGGCCCCCTTTTCCCTTTTCTTATAGGGGGCTTGTCTAGCAAATTCTTGGGGCCCAAAATTTTAATCCAGTTTTCTTTTTCTTTCTTTCGTTCACAAGCATTTTCTCTCAAAATTTTCTTATTCTTTTTCAATCCAGGGTTATCTTAACCCAGCTTTGAACAACCCGGCCCAGACTAGCAGCAAGATTAGTTAAAGCGACTTTTTCATGAAATGAATTCTAGCGAATATTTGTTTGAGTTTGTAGCTCTGGGAAAAACTCTTTACCTTGAACAACTTTTTAAGTTTAGCACTGTTGACAATCGATGTCGATGCTCGCAACACAGCATCCACTTGCTGAAAACAAACAGAAAATTCAGTTTCGCAGTTTAATGCATTCTGCACCGTCTTTCTGGAAACGTTTCCTTTTTTAACAATCACTGTTTACTTCAAGGTATCCTATTCAGGAGCTTACGCAACTGCTATCACTTTGGGACATGGAAAAATTTGATAAATAACTGTACAGTATAGAAAATAGTACGGGTAAAATGTTTATCCCCGATCCAGTCGAGAAATTTTGTAAACACGTGATTGTAAGTCTGTCCGTCCGCACCAGCTAGCTAGGGTAAAAGCCTGCAACCTAACATTGCACATCCATTTTGTGGCCAACTGACAGCTGTAGTCTAGCTGTTAAAACAGGGTATCTGCTGACCAGTATTATATGACCGTATCGCGCGCTCAGGTGTCGACCCATCGACGAGTTATTAGTTTTCGACCCTAAGTGGATTTCTTTGCAATGGTAGCCAAGTATGTATATTGTTTGAAGTAAAATACAAATTTATTATCGAGAGCTTCCCCTTTACTAGAGCATTGGCTAAATCTATATATTATCGTTTATACGACAGCTTACTTGTCTGTTTGTTTGATTGTTTTCTCGTAATGATTATTATTACTTTAAATAAAAACAACAAACTTACCGGTACGACAGTTCTCATCAATTCATCGAACACACCAATGAACGCCATGACACTCAGTTTAGTCTCATATCTCTCCACCTTGGCAATCTGTTTTTGGAGGGCAAGACCGTTGTTTTATGCTCGAGTAACCTTTACTTGACAAGTTTTGCCCGCTCGGTCGTGTCCCCATTGACACAACCGCGAAAAAGTACCCTTAAGTGTCTAAAATAGACTGGTCTGTACACCGTAATATACCAACAAGTTAATTACCCTTCTGATGACAGAAAAATTTAAAATCCCATTGGAAGTTGTCCTGTCAGAAAACTCGATTTGACTCTTTTGTTTGATAAACATTCCCTGTACACAAACAAGTTAACATCAAATGAATTGTTTCTGCTGAGTTTAAGTCTAAGATCAGTTGGATGTTGAACTCGTCACGTTTGAACAGAATTCAAAATTCCGTGCGAATAATTAATTGACTAGGAGTTTCATTTTGAAAGTAAGTGCTGGCATCTGAGCTAGAAGACAATATGGAGAATACAGTTTGAAAATAAATAAAGTGAAGAAAATAAAAAATGACACCTGGGAATTAGGGTGGTTTATTTGTGTTGTATAAAAGGGAAAAGCCCTTCGAGCAAATTTCGAGAGTGCAAGCAAATGATAAACGACGCCTCCGTTTTTATAAATTACTTGTTTCTATTTTTTAGATTTCTTTATTTGCCTATGGAAATGATTTCATCGTGGTCAAGAACGGATAAGTGAGGAATCCCGAGGAAGACAAGATATTTTCGCTCCCCGGCGAAGGAATACAATGGGCACTTACGTGTAGACTATGCAGACAAAACAAAAAGACACCACCTTAAGTAACCTTTTTTTCTCCTTACCTCAAATAAGAACTGCTCGGCCTCAGCCAGCTTATGAAACTCATGGGCGTGTTGAGCAAGACCTGCAAGCTGAAAGCACAAGTTTCGCATATCAAAAAAACGAGACACACACACACAAAAAAAACAAACTGGTTAAAAAAATTGACACAAACATTTTCCAGAAACCTTACAGAGTAAGGCGATGGGTAGTTAGCATACGCTGCAAGCTTTTCTGTGCAAGTTGGGGAAAATGACAAAAAATTGAGAGCGCGCGCTCTCGCAAGGCAGGAACGCATGCGCGAGTCTGTAAAGTTTCGCGACTCTGTGTAGCAACATGTTCGCTCGTTTTCAACGTATCACCTTTAACTTTGAAATTTTCCTAGTTTTTAGACACTGTTTCCAGCAGTGTCAATGGATGTTCGCCAACTGGTCTTTATAAAAACTTGAAAAAAACCGTTCTCTCTGTGGAACTGTGTCGTATTTTGTACTCACCTCTTCCTTCGTGGGTACAAATTTAAGAAGTAACTCTGCATGCTCTGGTGGTAGTTCAACCAAGTCACACTGGTCGATCAGTGATCCTATTGCTTCTGTGGAGTGTTGGATGCGGCGACGGGCGATCACTGAGGGACAAAAAAACGAAGCACTTGTAAAATCAATAGGAGACATCACTGTTTCCAAACATCGTTTTTGTTATGAAAATTTGTGAACAAGTGAAGCAATAGAATCTTTTTGTTTCATTGAAGAACCATTTCGCGTTTCACTGGTTGGCACATTAATATCAATAGTTGACGTACTCGTGAGTATCGCTACAGGCTTTTTAGAAACGAGGGTAATTGCAAATTCTAAGTCTGTAATGAAAATGACTACGTATTGATAGCTTAATTCCTCGTTTGTCCCTGTCATGACATGTTTTGACCGTTTGATCAGCCCTATAACTATCAGACGACGGTATAGTTTGGCTGTGCATTTTTTCGTAAGATTCTCCATATCGAGTGCTTAATTACTGTTATGGGCGGCCATTTTGGTTCCATACGTACCGAGGGGGCGCCGAGGCCCACGGGGTTTATAGCGGTGGGGGGGGGGGGGGAGCGGGTAGCGTAGGAAGGCGATAGATTTGCTATCATCCCAAGGCTAGGCTCGGTACATCTGAAAGCAAGATGGCCGCTTAAAGGAAGGTGCTCTATCCTGACGATCTTACGGAAAAATAGGGGACTGTGAACAGTAAGTCAAACCACTCCTTCATAATACGTGTATACTCCGTTCTCTTCCCATTTAAATATAAGCCCAACATATTCTACGCAAGCTTCTTACCAAGATTTCTCGCCCTCTTTGGTTCGATAACTGTGATTTGTTCTGCGGCTCGCTTTACGGCTAAGATAGAAAAACAAGACATCCGTTAATTATACATTGTTCATAGCCGAGAGGAAATTCTTTTCCAGGGCTGTCATTAGGAGCTGGGTGCCGGGGATTTCGCCGGCTACTTTCATCGGAAAATAGAAGAAAAAGAGAACCAAAAGAAATCCCTAGCTGTTTGATTGCTCGCCTACTTGTTGTATTTACCCGGCAACTTGAAATCTTACTGACAGCCATGGAAAACTTTTCAGTTGCCCGTAAGAGCAATAGTGATTTAACACCAGCGGCAAAGAAAGAGGGTAGCTAAACAGCTGCGCTTACCTTAAAAAATGAAGTGATAGGTTTTACGTTTTTAGGTTTGTTTGTTTGCACTGTAGCTAACCATTAGCCGCGGCCGCGATGCTACCACACAAAAAGCGGCGTTCCATTTTGCGAGAAAAAGTCCCAATTTTCTCCAGGCAGGTGTTGTCACAGACTGATCACGCAACTACTTTATCCATGGTCGCTTGGTTTGAATATTTGACTGCTAACCAGTACCAAACTCAGAATGCCACCCCAACCCCCGACAGTGTGCAGCCTGTCTCTCGGTATTTCAACTAGAAGCGCAATTCAATGAATATTCATCGCACTGCACACATTAAATACTCGTTAAGTGCCGTAGTACTTGCCTTGTTCTTTCTTTGCGATCAGATCTTCTGAAGCTTCGTTAGCTCTCAACTCAAATTTCTTGTCAAAATCTCTAAAGTCTAGTAATTCCATGAGGTCTTCATCACGGATGTCCTACCAAGAAAAGACAATCATTGAAAGAGTAAAATCAGGTATAATGAAGTCAAACATCCCCAGGGCAAATGACAGCTTTAGAAGCAAGAATTGGCACAGTTAACTCGTACGCGGCCTTCTAAGCGAGAGGTCCCGAGTTCCTGATTCCCGGGTGTGTTCTCAAATCTTTGCTTGTATCGTCTTCTTTCCTTTCCGTGTAGCTATAAATACCGGTAGAACAGAGCATAGAGAGATGGGGTTAAAATGAGTGGCCTCATATAGTTTGGTCAGGTGATGACTATTTCGAGCTGCTGACGTTAAGTAAAAAGACTTTAACTCTACTTTCGCAGCTACAGACGCAACTTTTGCAAGTGAGCTAACAAGCCAGGTTGTAGTTGTACTTGTTATGGCATCGCACTTTCGTCAAGAATGAAGAATGGCTCTGATTTCTTTTCAATACCTTTGTCAACAACATTACAGCGAGACTTATAAGTCTAGCTAAATCTAGCATTGCCACTCTACTTCAAAAGACGTACCTGAAAGAATAGGCTTGAATCTGCTTTTGATGATATAGGAGTCCAATTGAGCATGGGGAGACGTACGCCATTGGCACCTACTCGCCGCCTCAACGACACAGTCCCATCTAAAAATATAACACCTTTTGGATCAGTATAGGATCATAAAAACTTGACGGTTGCCCCTAGCCTCTCGCGCAGGTGTTTTCGGTGAGAATTATTTTCTCTCTCCCGACGTAGAGGAAGGGGAGGAAATACGATAGACTGTTCACAAGTGCTACAAACGACAATCTTGAACAAGGCTAGCTTCGAGATGACAATCTTTTGGAGGACCGCCCAAAGTCGTCTCGGATTAGGACGATAAATCATAGGCCCCGTCTCACAAGCCTTTGCACATGTAATAAATCTGTGGGACGTTAAAGAACCCACATACTTTTCGTAAAGAGTAGGGCACGTAGTGCCGGGTGTAGTGGTCTATCTCACTTTCACACTCATGTATTGGGGCATCATTACTCATTCCTTCATTACTTGTAAACTGCAACTCAAGCAGTCTGGCAATTTCCCCCCCCCCCCCCCCCCCACGGCCAGTGTTGTAAATTATCCCTGAAAAGCCCTGAGGGGAGTGGAAAATAGGATATTTACAATTTACAAGCCCACCCCCTTGGTACAGTTGAAACCAATTGCATAAAGTCGTCAGTGACGGTTAACGCTCAACTATGACAATTCTACGGGAAAATACATAGGCGACTGTAATCAGTCTAGAAATCCCACTACCCTAAAAACGCCTCCGTGGAAGGCAAACCTACCCCTCTACTAACCCAAACTTTCTCCTTAAGTGAGAAGTCAGTGTTACCATTGGGTTAGGGGAAGGGTAAGTGGACGGACGGACGGACGGGCAGACGAACGGTAACGTGACTACAAAACTTTCTCGGATGAATAGATAATTTTCTTAGTCATGGTACTCCGCTCGCGCGTGGAGCTGCACGAAAAAAGCCGAAATAGCCAGTTGCACACTTCGCGTTAACTTCATAAAGCATTAAATTTCCTGTAATAAAGTAAGGGGGCAGGGCTCTTGCTACGCTTGATTGATAAGGAGGTTTTAGCAAAAGAGTAAAATTAAAAATGTTCGGAACCGTTTACGACTTATGTCGGCCTTCAGTGTGTACAACGACGTTTCCCGCGAAACCGGGTTCAAGTCCTTTTCTTCCCGTTGAGCAATTTTTAGCTGTGTAACCTCAAACATGAAAGTGTTTAAAACCTAGCAAATCCATCAAAAGCTATTTTCCCAAAAGGAACTTTGGGGAAAAGGTCTAGTGTAACCTCAACTATTAAATCAAACACGACACGTTCTAATGAAAAGTTTCTGGAAGTGAAAATGCCCGTACAATTTCTGTGCCATTTGTTGAACCGTTTATCCAAAGCCTTCTGCAGTCTACTTTTGCAAGATAACTAATTTACTGCCATTGAAAACAGTTATTCAAATGGTACGGCTAATTTCGGTTCAAGTCAGAGGTACTTCCGGGGTAGTTTCAATCGGACCGGATTTGCTTTACAATTTTCTGTTGACTGAATTAGCGAACACTGATAGCAAAGCATCGGAATTATGAGATAACAGGACACCATTGTTATACAAGATGTCACTCACTTTCAGAATTTTAATGGATTAGAAGAAAACTCATCAAAATGCATTAAAATTTATAAAATAACTAAGATAGTACGCGCGCTCTGATTGGCCGAGAGGAGTGTTTGCATGAGAGTATGTAAACATGGTTGTGGCGTCAAGTTGTTTGGCTTTTCGCGCGCTAATCACGCAAGCACGAATTTGAAAAAGTTTTCGAGTTCAAAACTCGACAAGTTTACTTTATTTACCCACTCCTTCGTCGGCTGAAACATGGAAAATCGTTACAAAGAAGGTGAGTCAATTTTTCTTCGCTTAAGCGGACATTTTAAGCAAGAAAAATCCGTATTTTGCAAAGCATCTTTTTGCAAAACAAGAACTGATTACGCGTGCAAGACTTCGTGGACAAGATTTTTACGACTGAGAAGAATTTCTCTTTTAATAAGTGCCATACAAAGAGTCTTGCGTTTTTTTCTCGGGAAAGTTATTTTATAAAAGCAATAGAAAACTTTTTTCCTGTGTTTGCATAGCCTGATATAAACACTCGAGGCGTTGGTAGAATTCTCGACGGTTATGCAAACCCTCGACTTCGTCTCGGGTTTGCATAACTGTCTCGAATTCTCCCAACCCCTCTCGTGTTTATATCAGGCTATGCAAACACGGAAAACGTTTTCTACTGCTTAAAAATTCACTACATAAACTTACCAATTTCAGGGGGAGGGGGTGGGGGAGGAATCAAACGACCTGTGAAAGAGTAAATGATAAAACATCCATCATTGTTGCTGACTGAGCGACATAATAAGAGGAAAAAAGGAAACAAATAAATTTTAGCTCTAAAGCCAATATTCTAATAGGGACTCTTCTTAACCCTTTCGCCCATGAAGCGCACTTAACCGCCCGTGCGGATCCACGTCCCTTCTACCGCTTGTGACGTCATCAGTTTTAACGGTCTAGGATAGCTTTGTCCGCTAACTTGCGCAGGGTAAAGAGATCTTTTAAACCATACCAGAATGAGCACGATTCAGTGAAAGAGCCCGGAGAAAAAGGCAAAAAACCAAAATCTTGTTTCACTACCCACCTACTTTTTCTTTTATCCAATCCTAAGATACTACATGCTCAGCAAACGACAAAAAATGAGGCAAGAAAAACGAAAGAAGAGGGGAGGAGAGAAAGCAAAAAGTAAGTCAAGACGGCTGGGTCACTTTTAAACCCTAAAACTATCTTTTTGCTTTCTGCGCCTGCCCGAAAGTCGCAAGCTAATATTTTGCATCTGGATCAGAAGGCCGCAAAGTGTACGACCTGTAAATGGTTTTCTTTTTAGCAAGACAGTGACCGAAACCGCTCAGCTAGCTTCAAAACGCGTTTTCTGGCAAAATTTCTAGGGGAGAATGGGTTGAAGAGTTTTCCTTGGGACACATGGTGAAAACAAAGAAGCAAACAGATCACCCATCGAAAACGATGAACGAAATAAACTGAGAAAACGCTTAACTTCTTTTATTCTTATGGTGTCTCAAATCTTTTTTCCCGTAAGAATCCGCAAAATTATCCGTTTGCTTCTTTCTTTCTAATTCTTCCTTTCTTTTACTAGTAATTGTCCAAATCCTCTTATCTTCTTGACGTCACATTTTGCACTCCAGTAACGATTTTTAGCAACCATGAAGGCCACAGCAGCGAAAACATCGTTAGTGAAGTGAAGGTGATTGATTGTATCAAATATGATAAACACATACCATCTGGTGCTGGTGGGGGGACGGGTGGCGGAGGCGGTGGGGGTGGGGCAGGGGGTGTTACAATTGCCGCCGCAGCTTCTGCGACACTGGTAATGAGATCACGGGGAATCTCAACTTGATCTGCTTCGTGCTTGACGTGTTTCTAAGAAGCAAAAAAACTCAAATTAACTGTTAAATTGACAGCAATACAATTGCAATACTTAACAATTATTGAAAGAGGCCGAGTATATTATGAAGAATTAAACAGAAAAAGGAAGGTGTTACTGCTTAGGAAGATAAGATCCGCACACAGTGGAACCACGATGTAAGGACCCTCCAATGTACATGTATATAATGAAGTCATAGGTATAAGGAACGATATTCTTCGCCCAAGTTGCAGTAATGGTAAAATGTAAGGAAAAGAACCTCGATACCATGACGAAACCTGACCTCGTTAATAGCGAACTTATTTTTCCAGTCCCTTGGGCGTTCCACTGTGATTGTTTTATTTTTCACTCAAAATACCGTATTTATTCGAATAAGCGCCCAGCCTCGAATTAGCACCCACCTCGAATAAGCGCCCATCCTAAAGGCAGAAAAAGTTAATAAGCGCCAACCCCCTCCTCCCCCTAATCAAACTCAAATAAGCGCTCACCCCCACGCCACCCACTTGAGTGAATAAATTCTAATAAGAGACTTTCCCAAAGACGGAGTTTTCTTCAGAGTATTTTACAGAAACCTTGCTTTGTTACCTCTTCGCGTTTTGTTATTAGCATTTATTGTTTTGTTGCAAAATAAACATACTTCACTTGCTGAAAATGGTGAAAAATTAATAAGCACCCACTCTCAAGGTCCAAAAATTTAATAAGCGCCCAGGGCGGTTAATCGAATAAATACGGTAATTGCAAGCTCATAACATCATTGAGCTAACCACTTCGTAGAACATGTTCAAAGGATATGCCAATTCCCGGGCAATTTTAGCACAAGAAGGAATGCTTTTTTTAAAGTCGTACAACTTCATGCAACGATGGAAACGGTGAAAATGAACAAAACTTACCACAACATTTTCCAAAGTTGTCTGTAATTCTGTGGATCTGAGTCTGTACTCTTCCGATCGCTCCCCAAGCTGAAAAAGTTTAAATACCGCAGTTTGTATTGAAAGAATTGAATATTTAAACACAACCTCAAGTGTTCGTGGCTAGCAGAGAAGCACGCTTGCACAAAAGAAAGAAACTCAAACACCCCTTAACACATCGATTTAGAAATTCAATTCTCGATACATCAAGGATTAATAGATTCCAGTTTTACTATATGGTCAAAATACATACCTCTGTGTTTGTTTTCTTAAGTCTTATGTTCTCCTTTTCCAGCTCCTGATAATGAAGAGAAGGATAAAAACGTCTCGTAAAATAAGACGACGAGAAATGTGTTTAAAATTGCCTTATTAAGACTACTGCCGTTGTTGTAACAAGGCGTGTTTTAACGAATTAAGAGAACTTAGTTTAAATTTTAAACGGATGGTAAAACAGACTTACCTCAAGTTTGGTCTGTAAAAGATCAACCTATTGAGGCAAAGAAAACGCTCTTGTCACGATTTTGAGCAGGCACTGAAACACAGGCACCCTAAGGTTTGTGCGGTATAATAACACTCTGAGTCTTAAAAATGTCCAACATCAGGTTTCTCCCAATACAGTAAAAATCCGCGACAAAGAACCTGTTAGGCTAAATTTGCCAGTTAGGCCCCCTCCATACATCTATACAAGAACTTGTTCCGCCTAAAATTTGAAACAGGTTCCTACTTTCTAAAATCTATAAAGAAATTATGTACACTTGGGCAAATAAGATAACTCAACGTTCAGGATCCTCTTTGGAGACATAGATGCCTTATAACTCCAACTGCAAATGTAATGGTATACAGGTTTTACCTAAGGAATGAGCTGAATACCACTAAATACTCTTAGCAACCACGTATTTTTCTTCAGAAAATAAGAACCTGTTTAAGAGCTTAAATAGCCTAAAATTGTGCTAATTACCAGTTATATCAGAACCTGTTTAGGCTAACTTGGCAAAATGCAGGTTCTTAGTCTCAGGGTTTTACTGTTAGTAACATCAACACATAATCAAGACAAAAGGTTATGAGAAATTATCAAATGATCACCCAACCGGCTAAGGGAAATGGGATTATCCAAGGCTGTGCTCTAAGGAAATTTAAAGGGAGCTCAGTGGTCTTAACCTGTGAAACCTTCGTTGCCAAGCATGTGATTTGTATCAAAAATCTAAGATTTTCTAGTCACCGGGAGCAAAGGTTGGGCGCCAAGGGGCCACCGGGTTCTGCTAGAGCACAGCCCTGTTAGCTGTAGTATGAAATTCTTTCAACTTATTCGTTACGGAAATGTGTAGAGATCAGTCTGGAGAATTGACAGTAATACGTGGATATAGGGGCTTTCAGGGTTAATAGGTTCCAGTGTATCGTACTTCCTCGTGATGCAACGTGCCATATTATCTTCTGCATTTGGCGACAAATGAAACAAAGATTGCTTGAAAGTGCGCAGCAAGGAAAACAAGCGCGTTCCTTGTTTAAAATTTCAAACACAAATGACCTCTGGCAGCACTTCCTCGTGATACAACATAAAAACCGTGGAACCTCGATTTAACGAACTTCTATATAACGATTTCCTTCACCCGAGTTATACTAAAATACTTTCAGGAAAGCCCTGAGGATAATTTTTGGCAAGGCAGAGTTTGCTGATGCCATGGCCGTGGCAAGCCTTGACACAGTTAACGGCAGGCGAGTTGCTGCCTGTCAGAGGTTCATCATAAATGCGCGGCAATATCCTCCCCCCTTCTCCTAAGGACCATGAGTGTAAATACTCTCTTCGTTCCCGCAATCCGAGACTTGGTCGGACTAATACTAGTCTAATAGACTAACTGATTTTGCTACTGTCAAACATCAACATATTGTGTAATTGTGTATGCTTATTGCTGGCCTACCCAGCAATTCAGTCAGAGGGTTGTCCAATACACCCAAACTGAGTCCGATGGACGAAGGCCCTGAACAAAGTGAACAACCAGACTCACCGGAAGTCAGTTCGCGAGAGAATAAATATAAAGCAAAAACAAGCATCTATCTATCTATATCTATCTATCTATAAAAAACCTCGATATAACGAAACCTCCTAATAGAGAACATAATTATTTCGTCAGTCCACTGGCCCTTCATTAGAACGAGGTTCCACTGTATTTTGTCTCTAGCATTTGGCAAAAACGACACACAGACGACACAAAGATTGGTTGAAAGTGCGCAGCGAGGAAAACAAGCGCAAACTCCATAGTGGAAAAGCGACATGGACATTGCTTTCTCCTCAACTCCACAACACGTGAAACTAAGGGTTTTAACTGAAATTCAGTGCATGAAGGTTGTTTCTTTTTATTTGGTTAGGGGCTGCAAGGCAAAAAAGAAAAAACCCTCACCTCATCTCGAAGGTACTTGGTTCTCTCTCGAAGGCTAACAAATTCATCCATAACCCCTTGAACATTAACATAATTGTCCTGCCACGTTTTCAACGCATCTCGTACTGATGATGCTTCCAGGCCTTCCAAGGTCTGCAGTCGGATAGAAGAACAAAAATTGGATTTACTTTTTGGACTTTTTGGAATGAGAATGATGGAACACAAGAGAAATTCTGAATGTAGGTAATTCTAGATGACACGTAATTTTTAAGGAAAGAACGATCAAGGAATTAAGCACAGTCTTTCAAAACACATGCACTGATCCTACCCAATTTACCAGTAACAAAAACAGGAAAGTACATGAGCATTTCAAAATTCACTCTGAAAACCACTGACTAGTTTTTGTTTTTTTTTTTTTTCCTATTACAGCGTAGACCGCGAGCAGTCTCTTGGCCTGAGTACAGACCCCCTCCTCCCCTCGGGAAAACTCGATTTCTCCGTTTTTTTTCTTGAGGGGAGGGGGGGTCTGTACACAGGCTATCAGTCTCTCTTTTTTCATTTCCATCTCTCACGCGTTTCGCTCGACGGACAAAGAAAAAAAAGACTACTCTTTGTCTAACTAAGGCGGTTTCTACACGGAAAGACAACTTATATTTCGCGTGGAGGAGAAAACTGGCCCAAAAAATTCAATGTGACCAACATCGTAGCCCAAAACACTTGAAGCCAATTTTCCTGGCCACGTCACATGAACGTTGACGACGATTTCCAAGATTTTTAACTTCCGACACACCACCCTAGCGTTGGTCCACTGTTGTTTGAAATCCTTCTGTAGCTAACGGAGAAGAATTTTCCACAGAAAATTTGTCAAGTCCTGCACCCAAAATCCGAGCAAATACGTTTTTCCCTTGGGAATTGCCACACTTGCTGTATGAACATGGCTTTGAAGTACAATTCCATCTTACCCTTTCTGTTCGTTCCACATCAAACCCTGCATTTTCAATCTCTTGCTGATGAAAAACTTTCTTGTTAAAAGTCGGTGTGATACTCAATAGAGAGTTGAAGAAAATCAAGCACAGCGTCTGAAAGAGAAAACGAATGCAATAGGCCCTTTAAGGTTCGTACCCTTTTTTGAACAAAAAATTCAAGGACTTTCAAGGACACATATACCATTTTTCAAGCACTCTATTTAGTGAAAAAAGAGCCTTGAGTCTGTCTTTTTTAGCTCTTCCACATCATCACATCAGGAGCAATTTTATCCTGAAGGTCGTTCTGTATTTGCTCCTTTAAGGCTCTTCAGAACTGTCTGGTTTGGAATAACGTTAGCATGCACAGAAATCACAGGAATTTCCAGCACCAATTGCAATTCTCAAGGACTTTCAAGGTGCGTGCAAACCCTGGCCCTGTTGCAGCTAGTCAAATTAGGGACCTTACGATCCGACAATGGCGACGCCAATGAAAGGTCGCTGAAAACAGACTTCGCAGCCTTTCAAACTTTCTTGCGCCTATCCCAAGTCACCTAGTTACTTAGAAGAAGGAAATTTAAGCTGCAGCTGAAGAGAGGGAACAGCGCCGGAGTTCATACAAAGATGGCAGAATTTATTGCCTTGCCGTTCCCGTTCTCAAGTCAACTTAGAATGTGGTCATTCCACGTCGCACTTTTGCTGGGACGGCAAAGCAATTTACAAAAATGCGTGATGCACAAACAGAGTTGTTGTTGTGCTTTTTGACGTTCCCTAACATTCAGGTGATGCCAAACGGCACTGCTGGGACAAGAGAAACAAAGGAAATTACCGTTTTACGATGTGAGACCTTTGTTTTTCTGTCCCAATACGACCCTCGACCCTAGATGATTTGGGCTCGGTCAAAACTGAGCTCTGACGTCACCGAGAGAAACTCGCCTACCTTCCCCAGATTTCGCGCGGACAACGGGGCAAGAGAGAATGCCTAGGGAATAGGCTGATAAATAATGAACTTGGCTCAGTCCCAACCGTCGTTTACCTGGAACTGCGGTGAAATGGGTCTCTGGTACATCAAATTCACAAGAGTTTCAAACGGCCGCACCTCTCTGGCCATTCTGGAGTAAAACCTCACTGCATCAACAACTTTATCGTAGTACTCAGACTGCATACAGGCCTGTGCTAGCATCTAAATGAAAGATATTAAGCAAGCATTAATGAGAAAAACAGGTCTACAAACAATCTATCGCTCTTTAAAAGACTCTGTCATTGCTGAAACCAGACACACTTTCTAAGATAGCAGTGGAGAAGAAGTGACTCTGTGGAGGCTTTATGCGCAACGGAGCGCGAACCGGAGGCAAGGTAAGGTTAAGTACCGTAAAATGACTCTAAATGGATATCAGAGTTTGAAAGCAACAGCCAAACTTGTATATTGCACTTGTAAAAGCTTTGTTAAATTGACTCATAGAGTACCAGAAAAATGTCCGGCATAATAAATGCGCAGTTAATATTATTCCTAAAAACAAAACTAGTTTTTAGTACTATCACGATGATAATAACACTGCTCCTAAAATTCTTAATACAACTTGTCAGAAAAGAAGCTTTTCACATAATCCCTACGGCACTGCCGCTACTATCAGTGTCGTAATATGGTCTTTATGCATTGTGAAGATAATTTTCATGCCCCAGAAACTGTAAATCGTTAAGAATGCACTTACCTTGACTACCAATGCTTGCGTTTTTAGACTGTCAATTTTCAAACACAGAATGATAGCTTTGAGAGATTCCTCAACACCCATAACTGATTGAAAACCATACTGTGAAAAAAAAAAAGGTTACACAACAGTCAAGTCACCGGTAAAATTAAGGTCCTTACCCTACAACAATGGCGACGCCAATGAAAACGTTTTTTTTTTTTGTGCAGGATCAAATTCCTCAAAACAACAGTGATTTTGTTACAAATAGTTATGGTGAGTCATGGGACTCATCTTGTGAAAAATCATTAGTCCCAGTCCAGACCCAATGAGTCCCAGTTAAAAAAAAACCAGTCCCAAATAGAAAATGTTGGGCCTTAATGTAACAGGGTTGTCATTAAGAGCCGGGGGCCGGGGATTTTCCCCGGCTACTAAAGAGAGTGGCCCCCGGCTACTTTTATTAGAAAATAGAAGAAAAATAGATCCAAAAGAAATCCCTAGCCCTTTGATTCCCCGCCTACTTGTTGTATTTACCCGGCAACTTGAAATCTTAGTGACAACCCTGATGTAACCAGACAGTTAATCTGAAGACAGACTCCAAAACTCTGTATTACAGTACACTGAGATTAAAATATAGTCCTTAAGCACAACAAAGGCTAAAAGAATACGCATCGTTGAACAACAGCCATAATATCTGCCGCAGATACACATGTGCAGATCGATTGATCGATCTTTGCGGACGCATGCCATGAATTATTTTGCGTCTTTGGGGATTTTCATGCATCAGGGACGCAGGACGAAGAGGTAACAAAATCACTGAAACAATATGCTTTTCTCCTAGGTGTTGCTGCTTAGAAATTGACTTCTTGTCTTTCACACCTTTTTACCTCAATTCCCACTCGTTTGTGATTACATGTAAGTTAAGGCTATGTTCACACTATCCCGGATAGCGTTCGCGCGGCCACGAAAATCATACCGGGTAGGGCTTCTGTTCACACACACAAAAACAGTTGAAGCGGCGCCATCTCTGTGACAGAGCGAAGCTGCCCCGCACCGATCTCTAATTAAGTGGAGAGTCACATATCGGATAGCTGTTCATACTGTACAGGATGGCTTTTCGTGGCGCCAAGAGAGGCAGTGAGTATCTGGTATCGTGTGTACATAGCCTTAACGTCGGGAAATTCAACTTAGAGCTGAGGATCCCTGCTCAGAGCTGAATGTAGATACCGAAGAATTTATCGCCTTACCGGTTGTCGTTCAGGTTCTTAAGAAAACTAAAAATTGTTTGGTCATTTCACCTCATACAATAAACCCTCGATATAACGAAGTGCCAAGGGAGTGGCTAAATTTGTTCGCTATAACGAGGTTTCGTTATATCGAGGTTCCTTTTATATATTTTACTATTACTGGGGTAAAGAAAATCGTTCGTTAAATCGAGGACTTCGTTATATAGTTTCATTATATCGAGGTTCCACTGTAGTACGTCCAGAGTTGTTGTTTTCCACACTAATCTATTGTTCTTTTGTTTTTTGGCATTCTGGTTGCGGTCCCGTCGTAGTATCGTGAGATCTTTTAATTTAGAGTGTTTTCATACTACAGGGGAAAAAACCAGGTCTACATTTTTCTAACTTTTTAAGGAAGTTATTTGGACTATAACGGCTTGCCAAAATAGTGAAAAGACTCTAAGAGCGCGAACGTCATGCACTGTTAAAAATTCCGAAAGCTTACTGACACAGGCTGGCTTCACTCGTGCATGTCCATTACTAGCTGAGCTATAAGACATAGATCTCATTCGTTTTATCTATTTACTTTTGTTTTTAAATTTTAAATGCCATTACCTTGTTTCTCATTAAAACTCTCAAACACATGAGACACAAATGCTCATCAACCTAGAAGTGAAAAATCACAAAAAATTAGTCAGTACCACATAAGAAAATAGGGACGAGCGTTTAGGTTTATAAAATCTGCCCTAAGAATTTAATTTGAGCTAATCTGAAGTCTTTTAGCGTCAGTAGTGTAAGACTGTGGAACGCTTTGCCTGATGAACAGTCTTCCATCCCTTCCCTTGAAAACGAGCCTTCTGCTTTCATTTGTACAGGCCCGCGCGTAAGAATCCTCTGACACACTGTAGATTTTAAAGGGATATGCCATGGCGGCAAGGGTGCTTACCCTATTACACAAACCATCAGTCTGGTTGAAATGCTGCATAAACATTAAACAATTAAATTCTAGGTTGTAGGAAAAGGAAACGCTGCAAAGTAGGTCTATTTTTTTGGCTTTTTTTTACCACTAGTCTCCTGAGAACAGCAGTTTAGGGCTGAAATAGAGTATAAATATCACAGATCTTAGTTTAAAATAGGGGAAGGGCTCAGGAAGCATGCTGCACATCCTGACAGGGTTAGTAAGTGTACACCCCGCATCTTAGTCCACTCACAGGCACCTATAAATAGACCCTTACAAGGCTTTTTTTCAACTTTCGACTGGGACTAGTTAGCGAAAAACAAGGCTGGAAAGAACGTCTTAAAATCAGTGAAGTTGCAAAGATTGAAAGTGATTTGCATGTTGAAAACTAACGAAGATATAGATTTGCAGAGTCGCGACGTTGTGGAGCAATGCTTCGCTCGTTTTGGAGGTATCACTTTTAAACTTGGTACGTTTTCTAATTCCAATGTGCTCGTCCCACCAGTGTCAATGAAATTTTACTTACTGTTCTTTGTCAAGACTTAAAAATACCGTGGAAGGGTCTTTTGTTTAAATGAAGGTATTTAACCATACTTACAAAGTCTCTGGACAAAACATCAGGTTTGCCTTTCCTCTTTGGAACGTCATCAACTTCTGGAGATGGTTGGTGTAGATGTAGATATTGAAGGAACTCAACCAGAGCAACATGGCCTCTATAAGGATCATCTACAAACTCACGCAGCCAGCTAACAGAAAAACATCGCATACACCAAATTATACGTGCATGAAGAGCTGCCATTAAGGGCCATAACCCATAACACCTGTTACAGCTCAGCTGACTTGATTTACAGGTGATCAAAGTGGAAAGTGAAAGAAGACACTATAAAGTTTTGGGGAGAAAAACTTAATGTACTATTAGTATTGTGTCTGCACATTGCCATCAACAAAACAAATTTCCCGGAATATAATACCAAAGACCTTCTAATTTTGAAAAGACTCAAGCTGCCATAAGGATGACCGAACAGTTACAAATTTCATAGCCCCGTTTTGAATGCATTTCTAGAGATCTAAAAGTACCCTGGATAGCCTACAAGTGTTTTCAATGTATTTAGGAGGAAACCATTGTTGAGTGCCCTTGACGTAAGAAACCAATGACAAGTCAAACTCAAGCCAGTTTAAACTAAATGGCCTTATATACCTTCAGAAAAAAAAAACCTTGGCCATATTGTTTGCAGGGAGGTACATGCACAAATCTGGCACTAGGCCTTCTGGAAGGTACACATAAACTACAATTGAATCTCCATTAAGCAGCGACCCTTGTGGTTCCAGCAAGTGGCTCATCCTCTCTAGTGGGGCTGGCTAGTTGCTTCATAGAGGTCTTAAGATAGTTGATCAATAGGTCTGAAGTTAGTCGCTCAATAGTATTAAGTAGCTAGACGTCTTTAGTCAGCATAATCTTTAGCAGAAACATCACTTTATTTTGAAACAAACTTGGGAAGGGAGCGGCAATACTGGTCGAACAATCACTAATCACCTTCTACCTCGGACTGTATTTTCTGTCATCATCTTCTTAAAATAAAGCCCAACTAAGATAATCAAGTGCTTGATTGTCGGGAGGGTGAGAAGGTGGCAATTGCTGCTTAATGGAGGCGGCTGCTTTAAATTAATAGAGGTTTATCTGCAATTAGTATTTTGGTAGTTTGATTACTGGCTGTTTAATAGCTAAGTGGCTGATTAATGGAGGTTCTGTATATTTTGTTCTGTACATTACTGTATATTTTAATCTTTCTTTTCGGTAATGCCTGCATGAACAAACATTCAATTAATGCTTACGTGGTATTTGGATGTGTCCGAAGGTCAACTTCTAATGACCTAAGTATCATCTCAACAGGCTCCAAACCTTTGAGGAGCCTTTTCTTTTCTGCAGCAGCAAACTTGCCCAGGTTGATGTCTCTGTGGGTTTTTAACTGTTCAATATAGAAGCCTGATGAATACTTGGGTTGCATCAATTCCTGCAAACATATTCAAAATATCTGTAATATTATTTGGAGACAACATAACATTCTACACATAATATGCACCTCTTTTCAAAAATTACTTCAAAGACACCATACATGTACGCTCAAGGTAAATTTTCGACTGGTAAAAGAGGGCTCAGCAAGAAAATACCAAATGTTGCTTTAGGCTTAATGTCTGCCGCTCTCTTGGGTCCAGTCTTTTTCCTCCCAGAGAAGAATGTCTTTTCCTGGGAGAAGCACAGTCTCATTTCTCAAACAGAGACTGCCAATCAAGCCCTTTACCCAGGGGGGTGGTACCTGGGGGGTGCTCCCACCCCTGTATATTGTACAGACAGGTATGTTCCCCCCCCCCCCAATAGGGTCTGTTTTTTGAGAGTCTTGATCCTTAAATAGGGTATCATTTTTGCCCATGTTGGCATTAATTTCCGTAAACTGTAATGAAGAGTTTTGCCGTCTGTCTCCAGATTAACTGTCTCGTTACATAAAGGCCCAAGCATTTCTATTTAGGACTCCTTATGTTTTTTTTAACTGAGACTCAATGTTTATTGACAGGGACTCATGATTTTTCACATGATGAGTCTCAGGACTCACCATAACTATTTGTGACAAAATCATTGATTGGGTCTCACATTAATTTTCTTTTCCTTTTAGACCCTTAAGCCCCAACATCCACATACAAACTCTCCATGCTGATCTCAATATATTTCCTTGCAGAACTAATGAGAGAATTTATTTAAAGATCAAAGCATTTTCACTTGGATGCTCCTTTTCTTAATCTTCATAACCTTTTTTCTTGATTTTGTACTGATATTGTTCTCAGAAAATTGATGTTGGTTAGTCTTGAGACTTGATTAAGGGTTAACCCTTTAAACCCTTAGATCAAAATTTGAATTCTCATTTGTTGCCCCCATTCATTTCCTACAGAAGCAGTGAGGAGAAGTTGATAAAATATCAAGCAAATTCATCTTCTGTGATCATGTCTGTTATTCTCATGACCACTCTGTTTTACAAAGCGTTGATATTACAAAGAGAAATTTGATGCTGATCATTCTTGGGGCTTGAAGGGTTAAAAGGGTGTCACACCTCTCCAAAGAACTGAATTTCACTTTGACTCTCAATACCTGAGGATGGTGTACATGACCCAAATTATGTGCTTACATTAAAAGCAACAGTACTAAAAGCAAGGTTTCTTAGCTGCCTGAGTGTGTCTATAAATTCCAGACTGGCCAATATGTACCGGTAGTCAATAATATTTTAATACAGAAGTAAGAAAAAGACCCCTTTTTTTTCTCGAGGGCCAGGCATTTTGACCAAAAAAATAAATTATAAAAATGTTACAAATAAATAATATAATTTATTTTGGTCAGTCAGGTCAGAAAGACAGTTTCAATGTCATTTTTAATAAGGACTAGCACCGTACCCAAAATTGTTAGAAAATCTGCCAAAATTACTAACTGAAACAACTTATAGAAATTAACTTTTATCTGGATGAACAGTGCATGGGACGACAGCTGGCAACTAGACTGAGTGCTGTGTGACAGCACAAGCATCTTCTTCTGAATACCTCCAGATAATTCTTAATATCATTTTTTCTATCTATAGATAAAAGTTACAAATTACACATGGCTGTAAGTTTGGACATTTATGAGGGTGCAATATTTTATTATTAGTTTGTTTCCTGTTTCATTAATTATTGTTTGGCACTTTTCCATGGAAAGGTTTTAAAAAGATTGGAAATAGCTATTTATAAAAAGCTTATTAGCTTATCAATAATAACGCTGACATTACTTAATTGAGATCTCTATGATTGATTTTAGATGACCAAAAATACCTGACCCAGTCTCGCAGCACTACAAATTAAACCGACATAACTTCTATTTTAACCTTGCATTTATGTGAAACTTAATTGAGCCATTTACAAATGAAAAGCATTACTCGGTTTTGTCTTTGTCGTGACAAAAGAAACACTATTATCTAATTTTGAAAAATGATGGCAAATTTTAAAATACTTGAACATCCGTTTAGATCAGCCTGAATTGGGGCTCTATCTGTAAGCAGACCACAGCTTTTGAAAAGATTTTGTTTCTGATACTTAGCTCAATCTGAGCCATGCTATGAACCGCAAAATAAACACTGTGTCAAGTAATCACTGGTCCAATTCATATTGTGCTGTAAATAGTATGAGTGAATTTTTGTTATAAACAGCGAGCCTGCACAAAATTCAGTGCAAGTTATTATCCTACTGAAGTATTCACAGTCTATGAATTGAATTCAAGTTGCTCGTAGAATAATTATTCTAAGCTCAATACTAACATCTTCAGCCTTTTCAGGGTTTGCCCCAGAGTTGTCAGTGTTAGAATTGACAAATTCAGAAGCAACTGCTTCTAAAGTTTGAGCAGAGTTCTCCATTTGAGGTGCATCAAAAATAACAAACAAGTATCCAAATTCCTTTCTTGAAATAACCACAAACCACGTTCAAAAAAAGGATTAAAGGACAGAAAAAAACTGTAACTTCAACGTCAGTTTCAGGTGACCCGAGAAAATTTTTCCAAAAAAAAAAAATTAAAGTAGGAAATAAATAACAAGATGGTGAGAGGTTGTCTTGGTGTCAACCTGTTCTTTCTAGACTGAATAACTTGAAGAGTTTGTTTTGAGCTGTTTTATTATTTCCCACCTGCAGACATGCTAATTGTCAAAATTTTCACAGGCTATAAATAGACACTTTCACTCCACTTAAGTTTTAGTTTCGTGTACTGCAAGTCTAATCTCCGTGCATTCAGTGCATTCAAGGCATTTTTGCTAGATTAAAACTCTACAACTTTGGCTTTTAACTTCAAATGTGGGATCTTGTGGTCGTGGGAAAGAAGTCGTTAAATAATGCAAGGAATCAACTCTATTGTAAGGTCATTCTTTCAAGTGACAAGGGATTAATTAAAAATTAATGTTAGACACTCATCAATGTGAATGTCCCTTCATTGACGTAGTTGCTATTGATACGAAAGAGCTTTCCTACGTGGGAGAAAAATTAATACGAATATTCTACAATCTTTGCAACGTTTTCTAACATACATCCCCAAATATACATTAGTTAATTTATTTTAAAACTCAACTCCATTCAAATACCCGGTCAAATACTTTGACACAGAGAACTCTCGACTGCAACAAGGCTGTCAAGTAGATCGATAGCTGTGTCCGTCACGAAAACAAACTTGCCTTCGCTTTTATCATTTTCCATTTGTTAGCCTTTGGGCTTTTTGCGAGCTCTACCGCTCTTTCCGGAGGAAGAGTCATCTTTTCCTATGTGCAAAACAGATTGAAGAAAGTAAAAGTTAGCTTTGTAATCATGGTTTGTTTATATCCTGGCGGCCCATAAATACAAAGCAGCCTGACTCATTGAATTCCTTGTAGGAACAATTAAAATTTTAAAACTTTGAAATCATGATCTTACCAATAAATGGGAAAATCTTCGTTCGATTTCTTCATCGTCTGGCAATTCTTCATCGACGTCAAATTCTAAGATTCAAAATTTTCAATTAAAGTATGAAAAGTTCTTAGACTCGCCGAGCATACACAATTACAAATATCCAACGTTGGAAGATTTCACATGGCGATCATTAAAAGCAGATTCTTAGTCACAATGAAGAATATGTTCTTCAAGAACAGAAATATTTCCACTTACCTGTTTCATCGCCACCAGAAGAACTTTCAACATGCGAAAGCGAAGCGCTTGAAACTGACCGTACAGAATCGAACATGTTCAGCCTCGAATTTCGAATGAGTTCGCCGTTGTGTTTCTTTTTTTGCTTATTGCTTGTTTTTTTTTGTTTTGCATTTTTAACCCGATCTTGCACCATGCTGTCTTTGTGGCAAACAACTGAGCGTTCACAAATGATCTACCAAAGCACTCCAATCAGGGTCTTGCAAAGTAAGTCTGTTTTGGTTTGGATGGCCTCGCTTGACTTCCTCTGTACGGCGAGAGGAAGGTCATTAATTGCGCTTAGATACACAATAACTTCTATTGTGGTATTGTATTTGTTTATAAACCTAGAACCTTCTGAATTAAACATTGATTGGCTAGGGAGTTTGGTAATATGAGTCATTACGTATCTTGAAATAAGCGTTTTGAACATAAAACCGAACGGAAGATAGCGTGAAAAATATCTATTAGAGGAAAAGGGAAGGAAGATTCCAAAATCCTCTTCAAAATCCTATTTAT